GTGGGTGGAATCATACTGGAACATGTAGACCATGTAGTTCAGATCAATGAAGGGGTCACTGATGGCAACAATTTCCACTTTGCAAGAATTGAAAGCAACCCTGGTGACCAGGCGCCCAGTGCGGCCAAATCCGTGCACTCCGCCCTTCCCCATCGTGTCTCTGGGAGGCGGCTGAGACTGCACGGGAACAACGGGAGAGGCGGCTGTCTGTCACGCACGAGGTGGAGCGGAGAGCCGGTAATTGGATTTTGTCAATTTAGCAGAGCTAGGCTTCTCAGTGGTTGGGCAGTTAAGGGCTAGTAACCCTCAATGACATCACCTAACAGAGAGGAATTAACCGATTCTCCCTCAAGGTTACTTCTATTGTATAGAGGGCTGAAATTGATTGCGGTGATTACACAACTCTTTTGTATGGTATGTGAATCAAATGTCAAAACTTTTTTTTTAATGTATATAGAGGAAAGGTGCCTGTAACCGATACATTATGGTTATATAATGTAGATAATGTTACTAAGCAGGGACCACTACATTTGATTCAATAAAGTAATTCTGAACCCTTTCTAAAGCAGCTTACCACAGTAGACGCTGCTTTGCTCTACCTAGAGTGTGTGCATGAGCATGCTGGGGAAACACCCGACCTGATCGAAACCCAGAACAGGTGAGCTTTCGAAAAAGTGACAGCTTGATAGCCTTTCAAGTGATTCATTCTGCTACTCCTAGGTATTATGTGGATTACACCCCTATGGAAGCAGTTCATTTCATTACATTGCTTCTTTGACATTCTATGAAGCCCAAGTTGAGAAATCTATGACTAACCCTTACCTATTTGCATTTTATTTGAACATGTTCCAGTAGAGCATTATCACAGTTTATGAAAAGAGGTACCTCAGCCATGGCTAAAGGAATGAGGTCCTGTTTTCAAAAGTTAGGTCAGAGATCCTGCAATAAGCTTGGATGATGATTCATGGCCCCACACGAAGGCCCATGACCCTGATGTTGACACATATGCAAATGACCTTCCATGCCACCCACTCTGGACTTACCAAATCATGGCAGGAGGCCAAGCTGTTTTAACCCTCTAGGATTCTGAGGATGCCTGGCCGGGCAACAAGTGGTCCTCATGACTGTCAGCTTACGAGTTGAAAAAGTTACAGATTA